ATATTCTGAAAAAGGAATTAAGGAAACAATACCATTTACAACAGCATCAAAAAGGATAAAATGCTTAGGAATAAATTAAACCAAAGAAATGCAAAACTTGTACACTGAAAACTACAAAACATTGTTGAAAGAAATTAAAGATCTAAGTAAAAAAGATATCCTGTGTTCATGGATTAGAAGACTTTATATTTTTAAGATGACAATTCTCCCCAAATCGATCTAGAGATTCAATGCAATCCCTATCAAAAGTCCAGCTGCCTTTCTTGCAGAAATGGAAAAGCTTATCCTAAAATACATATGAAATGTAAGGGACACAGAATAGCCAGAACAATATTGAAAAAGAACAAAGTTGGAAGATTCACACTTCACAGTTCTAAGACTTACTACAAAGCCATAATAATCAAAGCAGTGTAGTACAGGTGTAAAGACAGATATAGAGATCAAAGGACTAGCATTCAAAGTCCAGAAGCAAACCCTCACATTTACAGTCAATTGATTTTTTTACAAGGGTGACAAGACAATTCAATAGGGAAAGAACAGTCTTTTCAACAAATGCTGCTGGGACAACCAGATATCCACCTGAAAAAGAATGAATTTGGACGCCTACCTTATACTGTATAGAGAAAAGAATTCAAAAGGGATCAAAGACCTAAATATAAAAGCTAAAACTATAAAATTCTTAGGAAACATAGTGATAAATCTTCGTGACCTAGGACCTGGCAATGGTTTCTTAGATATGACATCAAAATCAGGAGAAACCAATGAAAAAATACATTGTATTTCATCAAAATTACAAACTTTTATATTTGAACAGACACTATCAAGAAAGTGGAAAAAAAACTCCGGAGTGAGAGAAAATATTTACAAATTATATATCTGAAAAAGGTCTAGTATTCAGAATACATAAAGAACTCTTACAACTCAACAATAAAAAGATAAATAATGCAATATTTAAAAATGGGCAAAATATCTGAATATATATTTTCCAAAGAGGATATAAAATAGCCAGTAAACACATGAAAAGATGTGCAACATCATTAATCATTAGGAAAATGCAAACCAAACCCGTAATGGCCACCTCACATTCACTAGGATGGCCAGAATGAAAAAAGTAGACCATAGCAAGAGGTAGCCAGATGCGGAGAAGTTAAAACCCTAGTTCATTACTGGTGAGAGTGTAAAATGGTGCAGCTGCTTTGGAAAACAACGTGGCAGTTCCTCCAAAAGTTAAACATAGAGTTACCATATGATCCAACAATGAGTAATTCTACTTGTAAGTATATACCTAAGAGAATCGAAAACAAATGTTCACACAAAAATTGTACATGAATGTCCATAGCAGCATTGTTTGTAACAATCAAAAAGTGGAACCAATCTAAATATCCATCAACTGGTAAATGGATAATAAAATAGTCAAGATGAGGGGACGAGGCCCAACCATGCCTTGAAGGGAGACACTAGAGCACGTGAATCCAGTTGCTCCAAAGACCTGCGAGGAGAGGACCAGAGGCTGGAGGAGTTAAAGAATACATCGTGGAAGAGAATCACACTGAGGCCTAGGAGAGTTGAAGTCAGAACATTCTAGAGTGGGGGTCCCCAACCTATGGTGAATTGTATAATTATTTCATTATATATTACAATGTATAACAATAATAATAATAGAAATAAAGTGCACAATAAATGTAATGCACTTGAATCATCCTGAAACCATCCCCCACCAGGTCCGTGGAAAAATTGTCTTCCATTAAAATGGCCCCTGGTGCCAAAAAGGTTGGGGACTGCTGTTCTAGAAGAAGGCCAAGAAATAGCATCTCCAGAAAGAGAAACAGCTGGAGCAAGTCTTGGAGGCAAGAAAGCTCGTTGAACGTGTGGAGGACAGGAAGCAGAGGTGCTGGGGGGGGGAAGCGTGGGGGACACGTAGGTAGACAACACCATGAAAGCTCCTGATTCGGGACTGGGGCAAAATGGGGGGATTTGGTTGACAACAGGTCTCAGGGCTCATCACCCTTCTGCCTCATGGAGGAAAAGCAGATGTGAGATCTCTTGGCCTAACTTTAGCCTCTCATCCTTCAGAGCATAGAACCCGTCTCCTGACTTCCTCATCAATGAAGCCAAGTGTTGGCCCCTCGGCCAGGCCAGCAGAGCCTGTGCACACGACCTAGCATTTTCAGTGTGAGAAGATGCCTCCCCCCAGAAAAGAAACCCCGCCCACGGTCCTCTCCACCTGCCCTGCCCACCCCAATGCCTGCATGGCTTGTGGCTGGCATCCCGGGTCTCACTGTTTCACTCCCTAACAAATCTCAAAAAGGAGAACCTCTAACTCCCAGTGGCATTTAGCTTCGCTCTTTAAACATCTGGGTCACAGATATGCTCAGTTAATTAATGTTCTTCACGCTGCTCATTTGCCTGCTGGATAATAGATTGATTCATAATTTCAATAAGCAGCTGTGTATATCTTTCCCCTGAACATAAAGGCAGCTTGCTGTCATCCATCACTTTGCATTTGGTGAATTTAAATATATTCAGGGCGACATTGTTCAGGGAAGGGGAGGGAGGACGTCTGATTTTCTTACCATTTTGCCTCTAACAATTACTCTGATTTGGAACTAATCGGGGTTTAAAGCACACGTTAACCGCATCTCTTTCAAGGGCACTTAATAAACTCCCTGTCACTTGTTCAAGGGGACCAGACAGGCTCTCCTTTTGGGATCAAAGCCAAGAGTTTCTGAGCAGCTTTCACCAAGAGATGAGAACCCCTGCAGAGAATCTTATCCGGCAGAGAAGAGCCACTCGTGTCCCTGAGTAGAGCTACCTTCTTGTTTCATTCCTGGGCAGAAATGCCCAGCCTTTCTGGAGGAAACGGGGATCCCCCAGTAATCGAGGAGGGGGTCCCTTTGTTGCTCAGCTGCTAGGCCAGGGCAGCCAACCACTGGCTCTCCAGGGACCCAAGGAACAAGGCCAGGACCCAGCCAGGCGACCAGATGTCTTCATGCCTCAGTTTCCTTGTCTATAGATAAAATAGGAAGAATAATAGAACCTATCTCTTGTTGTGAGAATTACATTATTTATTCTCCATACAATGGTTAGAAATGATGCAGAGTATGCCTTCCATGCATGCTAGCCAGTAGTATTCTTTTTTAATTTAGTAGGCACCGGCTATATATTAATGATCACCAGCCACCTCATATGTAGGATTGTGAGAACAAGAATGAAGAATCGTGTGTCCCTCTCACGTTGTCCGTACCAGCCTACACTGGAGGCATCTTAGTGGGACACAGCCCTGTCCTTATATTTCCGGAAGCCTGCGCCCAGGCCAGGCATACACAGGACGCTTCAAAACGTGCTTGTGGAGTTTAACTGGCTGCCATTTCAAAATGATGACAGTCACCACATCTACAATGTGCTCAATCCCAAATATGCTTTGAACACTTGGTCTGTGATTTGCTTCTAGTGAGGAATGAATGAATTAGGAACAGTCCCTTCCTCTCGGGAGCATGAAAGACAGGTGAAAGCATTTTCTTATATGAGAATAATGATTCTTAAACAACACGGGCAGCCAGGGGAGGGAAGGTAGGGGAGGGGAGGCCACTAGCCTAGTACTGGCCCTGTGGTGGGAAGGGTTGCCAGGCAACATCATCTCTGTATCAGTTAGCGATTGCTGCATAACAACTACCCCCAAAACTTAGTGGCTTAAAACAATATGCATTTATTATTGCTCATGAGCTTATAAGTCAGCTGGCCAGTTCTGTGATCTAGAGCAGGCTAGGCTGACTTGGGCTGGATTCATTCCTGCATCTCCTCTCAGCAGCTGGCAGGTTGGCTGAGGGCTGCCTGCTCCAGCTTGGCCTCATCCATTTGTCTGGTGGCCGAGTGGCAATCGTTTGGGCCACACATCTCTCATTCTCCCTCAGGCCAGCCCGTGCTTACTGCCGTGGGGACAGCAGGGTTCCAAGGGAATGAATGGATGCATGCAAGGCCAAAGGTCCAGTCTGGGAGCAGACACATCCTCACTTCCACTCCATCCCGTCAGCCAAGTTACAAGGCTAACCAATAGTCAAGGGACAGGGACGTGGAAATTTCAGCAAAGTCCTATTGTTAAGAGTGTACAGAAAAGTGAAGAACATGGTCATTTTGCAATTGACCCCAGTCTTCTAGCATTTGTTCTCGTACATGGAGCACAAAGTAAGTACTAGGATTGTCTTTCCCACTTGGAATAATTCTGCTTTCTCACCATTATAAATAATGTTGCAGTAAATACCCTATCCATAAACTTTTGTTTTCAACTCTGATTATTTCCTTGGGGTAGATGTCTAAAAGAGGATTTCTTCAGTCAAAGGCAATGAACATTTTTAAAGCACAAAGTATATATTCAAAAACCCCCTTTTGAAAGGTTGCAGCCATTTACCTTCCCGCCAACCCAACTATGGGAGGGCCCACCTCAGGCTAACCTTGCCGAAATGTGAACAATCTCTTTAAAAATGTGGTATCTTGTTGTTGTTTTAGATTTTTATTTCTTTTCTTATCTATGAAGTTGAATGCTGTTTAATGCCTGTTTCTTTTTCAGTGAATTGCTTCTTTGGGCCCTTTGCGGCGCAGTAGATTTCATCAAGCCCCATTTATAAATGAGGAAAAATGGAGACTGAGAGAAGTTGAGTGACTTGTTCAAGGTGGCCCAGCCAGCTGGAAGCAGAGCCAAGCTTTAGAAAGCAAACAACCAGCTCTCTTCACCTATTCCACCTTCCACATTAGCTGAACAGATGGCAAGAGTCCCCAAACACTGAGGACACACTTAGGAAAAATCAGAGGGTAGCTCCCGAGGCCTTTCTAGAACAGGGCTCCCCTGGGAGTTGGGCATCCGGGTGCATGACAGGACTGGCATGGTAGGCCAGGCTGTGGTATTGACAGACGGAGGGGTGAGGCCACAGACCTGAGCCACGCTTCCCCTCACGGCCTCACTCCTGCCTCCCTTCCCACTCCCTGCCGCTCTGGTCTCTCCACAGCTTGCCCGCTACACCAAGGAAGGCTTCCTGCACTTGGGCGCCCTGGGAACCACCACGCTCCTCCCTGACACCCGCTGCCTGGTGGACAACTCCAAGAGCCGGCTGCCCCAGCTCCTCGATTGTGACAAGGTCAAAAGCAGCCTGTACAAGCGCTGGAACTTCATCCAGGTGCGTGCCCCACGGACAGGTCAGCACCCAGAGCAGGTGCCCAGGCTGCGGGCTTCCGCAAGGGTCCCCAGCAAAGGGCGACCCAGAACCGAGGCCTCCCAGCCCCGGGCCCAGGCTCGTGGACCCAAAGCACTTTCAGGGGCACCCGTTGGGGGTTCTGTGTAAAGCAGCCCTCCTAGTTCCTGCATCAGCACTTGACTGGCTGGGCTCTGAAAACTCCTGACAGAGAGTGAAGGGTGATTTCCTTGAACTGTGCTAAGTCCCCACAGCCGGCAGGGCTGAGAAAGTCCGACCTCGACTATCCCAGGAATTTCCCATTGCAGAGCCCATCCCCCACCAGTGCACCTCACCTGGTTCAGCCCCTCAAACCCGGTGAAGCTTATTCATGTTGTGACTTTAGAGTCTGCAGAGGAAGCCCCCGTGACCCCTCCCGCTGTGCAAAGACTTTCGGTGGGATTGGTTCCCTGCGAGAAGCCATGCACCAGGAAATGTGGTGGTTAAGCCTCTGTCTCTGTCTCTGTCTCTGTCTCCTTCTCTCCCCTCCCGTTGCCATCTCCCCTCCCAGAATGGCGCCATCATGAACAAGGGCACAGGGCGCTGCCTGGAGGTGGAGAACCGCGGCCTGGCTGGCATCGACCTCATCCTCCGCAGCTGCACGGGACAGAGGTGGACCATTAAGAACTCCATCAAGTAGAGGGAAGGGGCCAGCACCCCGTAGCCTGGCCCCCAGGACATAGCTGGTCCGTCCGTCCTCTGGACCAGCCACACGGGTGGAGAGACAGCAGGGGCCAACAGGCGCTCGCTGGGCCTCCCAGGGCTTCTCTGGGACAGCACAGGGGCCCCAGACGGAGACTTCGTGTCCCCTTCGGCATCCAGCTGCCCACAAGGCTTGTGCACCCGGGAAAAGCCCCTCACTCCTTCTCCAGGAAACCAGCCGTGGCTTCTGCAGCCCTAGTGTGGACCTGGCACCGGAAAGTGAGACTGTCCACGTCTCTGCTATGTCATCTCCCACCCCGGTAGCAGGATCTGGGACTGGCGGGGTCCCCTCCCGTGTCTCATCCTTTGCAGCAGCAGCTTCTGAACTCTACCCTAACACAGTGGGACGCCGCAGGGGCTTCAGCCACAGCAGAGCTCCCCCTCCTTGGAGGAAGCTGTGGGGCCCTGAGACTCAGTTTCCCCTGAGGTTGCTTCTGCCCAGGTGTCTGTTCACACCAGAGGCAGCCACCACCCTCAACTTTCCCACCAGGATAGCTTTGGAGACTATAGCTCTGGAAATTTCCAGAAGGAGCTGACGGTTCCTCTGCTGGACACCTGGGCACTAGGCCGCTATAAATGTGCGTGGGCCAGCTCTCCTGCCTGTGTCTGGAGGGAGCCAGAGATAAACGGTCTCAGCACGTAGGATGGTCTGGGCTGCAAGGGACCCAGCAAGGGGGAGCCAGGCCGGGGAGTAGTGAGCCTTGACCAGTGGAGCTGCCCTGGGGCGCAGCCAGGGGCCTCCATCTAGAACTCAAGGGCTGAAGCCAGCATAGCAGAGGGCGCCAGGAAGCTCTGAGATGCTTTGTGCTCACCTCGTTTCACCCCACGCTCCGCTGGCTGGCAGGGGAGAAGGCAGTCGTTTCCTCTCTTAAGAGTAATAATTTTTTCCGATTGCCCTCTGGTTAGGGTGCACTTATAAATCAGAGTTAATATATGGACGTGTGTGCATGCACACGCGCGTGTGTGCCCGTGTGCTGTGTGTGGCAGGGTGTGTGCGTGTGCGTCTGGCGTGTGCGTCTGAGCGTGTGGCGAGGCTGACCCAGCTGTGTGGCCTCGGGCTTGCTGCATAACTGTTCTCCTGGATGGGGACGGGGCTGCCGAGGAGTGTGCGGGGGGAGGGCCCCATGTCACCAGCCCGGAGGTGCCCCTGACGGAAGCCTGTCCCTTCTGCCGGTTCCCAGCTCTCCCCTGTGCTGTCCCTGGCCAAGCCCTGCCCAGAGCCAAACCCTGTAGTTGCCCCGTTGCTCAATGCAGGATTCACAGTGTCTCATTTGGTGGCATCTTACTGGTGATCATCCCTCGCCCCATCTCCCACCTTGTGAAATAAATACACGTTAGCACTTCCCCAAGCGGCCTCGTTTGCTTCTTGGTTCCCCAAAGGTGGACACGGAGTGAGGGAGACGTGGCAGGGGTTTCTTTGGTTTGGAGGGTTTGGTCTCATTGAAGGCAAAAAGCCCTCGTGGGTCGGGGCTGAGACAAAGCCAGACTGCCCTGGCACACGCCTCCCCACCGCCAAGCCAGACTGAACTTGACATCTGACACTCACCTCCCAATCCGCTTGTGGACCCTGGGGCAGGAGGGTCAGGTTGGTGCAGGAAGCTGCAAGGAGGAGGAGAGCCGCGGGGTGACCTGGCTTGGCCATGCCTCCTGCTGCCTTCCAGCAAATTTCGCAGCTCAGGCCCCGGGAGCCCATCGTGGGGGCATCTGCCCCTTGGATGCTCGTGGAAAAGGGAAATCCTAAAAGATGCCAGGCCTCTGTCAGGGGAATGGGCAGAGTGGGGTGGGCAGGGAGCGCCCTTGGCTCTGACTGTCCCATTCCTCTTTCCTGCAAGGAAGCCCAGGAGACCCGCCCCCTTCCGTGTCACACGCACGTATCAGTTGCCACTTTTCTTTGGGTTCTGTGAGGGTCGGGCTCCACGAGCACGTTGATAGAAAATGCTGCTGTGTGGTAATGAGGAGCGATGAGCCTTAAATCCCAGAGTCTCAGGGTGACGGCGAGAAGAGCTCGCGATCGTCAGTTCCCTGGCGGGGGTTCGGGGAGAGGCTGAGATGCGGAGCTGCGCTTGGGGCCCATCCGAGCTCCTGAGGCAGCAGCCCTATGGACGTCGGCAGGTGTCCCAGAGCCTGGGAGAGATGAGTGCCCCTCCCTTAGGGCCGCACCACACCACAGCAGCGTGGCTGGGTTGGCTTGTTCGTGGGGTGGTGGCGGGTGCTGGCTTAGGGACTCCAGGAGGCCCGTGATGTGCTCTGAGACGCGGCTCCAGCCCTGGTGCCAGGGTCCCGGAGCCTGCGCTGCCCGTTCACATCAGCACCAGTGTCAGCAGCTTGCTCCAAAGGCTTGGGACACCCGAGGACACTGGCCACAGCGTGAGGCAGCATCCCCGTCAGCACCCGCTTTACCCCTCTGGGTCCTGCCTGGGCCTGGTGGCTTTGGGAGTGGCCAGGGCCCAAGATGGAAAAGAGGGACTGACAAAGCCAGAGAGAGGCAGGGAGAGAAAAGAGAAGCAGGACCCTGGGGTGGGGGGTGGGGGTTTGGTCACAAGTCCTTTGGGAGAATTTGGAAGTTCTGGAGACCCCCACATCTCTGCCAGCAAGCTCCAAGCATTGAGCTCAAGAGAAATCTCACATTCCTTCACCATCTGTTGGCAGTTGGCACCATCCACAGCTCAAGGAGTGACAGATCCACTGACCACCCCTCACTGTCACCTCTGCCACAGAGCAGGTGCAGCGGAGGGGACTGGGCTCTGGTCCTGTCTCCCTCCTGCACCGCCAGCCCCCTCCCCTCACCCAATCGCCTGCACTCCCCTGGCCATGACCATTTATTCTCTTTTCTCTAATTCTTCCCCTCAATTTCCATGGCGAAAAGAACGATCACAGATGGTATTCCTGATAAATGTCCAAGCCGTCAGAGCAGATGTCTTTGAATCTTTCTGTTATTTCTCGAATGTTTTCTTTAGGGTTTGACGTATGCTGGAGGCTAGAGAAGGACAAGAAATAGAAAAGACAGAGACAGCACCATGGGGCCCAGAAGCCACCGTCGTAAGCTACTCCAAGCCTTTTGATGTGGAGTTCTGAAGCCATTTTTTTTCCATCTGATATTTTTTCTACCTGATATTTTTTCTACCATTCTTGAAAAACATACCAATTTCACAAAATGAGGCTCCGGCAGAGGAGGCCACTTTCCCAGGGCTGCAGGGAGTGAGCTGTCCCTGCTTCGTGTGCTATTTCTGCTCATTCCTCTGCACTTGGAATCCTGCTCTGGGAAGGGCCCACGGACAGCCAGTTGGGAATGGGCTTGGGAGTGGCCTGGAGCCCCCACAGGGAACCAGGCGCCCGTGCAGTCTGGGGACAAGCCAAGGGACTGCACCGAGGCGCCCAGACCTGCTGACTGCCAGGTACAAGCCTTGCGTTCTGGTTGGAGCCCCCGACCGGCAGGTGGGCAGCAGACCAGCAGCGCCTCACCTGTCCCAGTCACTGATCTCTGAGTGCCTTGGCCTCTCTGCTCCCTCACTTCCCAGGCAAGTTTCTGAGACCTGAGTTTGGGGATCAGTGCTGCACCCCGAACTCCAGGGGTGCATTTCAGTTCAGTTCAACAAATATGTCTGGATACCTCTCCTGCGGTTTGCTTTTTATAACTTCTTGGAAAAAGACAGAAGACAGGGAGGGAGGGAGGAGCTAAAATACACTGAGCAAATGTGAGGCACCGTGGTGAGCAGACAAATGCCACAGCCTTTGCCCTCGAAAGCTCTGATTTGAGAGAAAACAGGTGCAACATATGGGGCCCCAGCCCTGGAGCTCGGGCAGCCATGCCATGGGGCTTCTGCCTGTTGGCATGAGTGGGGGTCCCGGCCTATTATCCGATTCCAGTCTTTCCCCAGAGAGGCCCCAGCTGAGGGATGGCTCTTGCCCACGTGGCTCTGGCTTGACTTCATCTGCTGCGTTGATACGGGAGCCCCACACGGATCGCCTAAGCTCACAGAGCCAAGGAGAAGAGCAAAGAAAGCCAGACAGGGATCATTGATGCTGTGGATGGTTCCAGAACACAGGGGGCTGCCAGGCCTAGCCAGTTAGTATTATCATCCCTAATAAATGGTTGGCGGGGGGCGGTGTTCATATTCCTCCAGGATCAAAATCTCACCGGATGCACTCTCCTGGTGGATGCCCACCCACCTGTCCAGGTAATCACTCAGTATCTGCTTGGTGACCCTGGAGACAGGTTGTTCCGGGGCAGGATAACTCTTTCTGATGGGGAGCCAAGCGGAGTCTGACTCTCAGTACCCTTTCCCTGACGTCCAGCCCTCTGGAGCACCGAAGGCGAGACAAGGCCTCCTGCTGCTTGGCAAGGTTAGCACCTGCTAACACCTACAGTGTGTTTCAAAGGCACCGGACCTCCTTTAAACTTGAACTCTGCCGGCTGCCACTGAGAGGAAAACAACCTCTATTCCATAGGCAGCAACTCGATCACTGGATAGAATTCATGCCTGCCACCTGGAGACATGGTTGACTTTCCTAGCTAGGGAAGCCATGAGCCGTGTCCCACAGGATGGGGCATATAGTGTTGCAAATTTTTACCTTGTGTCTCTTAAGTAACAGGTGGAATCCTAGAGAAAAAAAAATTCTCACAGACACTCAGGGCTGACCTAATGTAGTTTTTATCATAGTGTTTCCCAAATATGTGTCAACATAAAATAGCTTTTGCTCATTGGTCTATTGCAACTATAAAATAGAAAGAAATTTATAAGTAAATATGAATGAATCTGCAAAGTAAATAAAATTTAACTTAACAGCGTTCGTTGGATTCGGCGGCGGCGTTGCTCGCTGAAACTCCATTGCTGCTGCTTCAGATGGGAAAGTGGTTCCAACTGCCACATCGGTTCTTCTGTGCCTCGTGATAGCTTCATACTCTCTCTACTTTTCTGTACTCTAAGTATCTTGAAATACTGACTCACCATTCATTGCTTTACCGTGTATTTATTGAGTACCTACCTCTGTCTAGGACGTGGCTAAGGAGAAAGTAGTAACAAAGCAGATAGAAACCCTGCTCTCTGGGAATTGATTTTCTGGTAACTTTCCTAAGAGACAAACATGTTTATATTAAAATCTCTCCTCTCTTCTCTTTTCCCTGTGACGATTCCTGTAGAACTATTCAGAGCCAGTGCTGCTGGGACACTAACATAAACACGTGTCCTAAAATCACATTCAGTTCTCACCTGGTTATCGAGATAATACAGAAAATGCTTATATTAATTTTTAGATAATTATCAAAATGAAGACACAAAATCTGAAAATCTCCCAGACATCCTGTACATGCAAAAGTCAGAGGAGCCCCAGATGTCTGCAAAGCCCAGCTGAGAATCACAGCTTGAGTTATTTCCATTACGCATCCTTTTATCTTGCTGAGCGTTTGATAAGGCAGTGATGCCCACAGACCAAACGCAGCTCTTATCCTTGGGAGAAAAAAATTACTCCCACGGAGTGAATGTTTTCAACTCTTGTTTTTCTTCCTACTGCTCATCTTTTGGTCTTTCCCAAGCTCGTTATTCTTATGTGAAAAAGAACAAAGCCTCATGACTTTAAATCGCAGGATTTTTTTTTTCTTTATATTTTCGATGTAGAGTAATAGTTTGCTGGGCAGAACATTGGAAAGCGTGGGTCAGAGCGAGTTTTAGGGGTTCTTGGTGAACTTTGTCAATATCAGTTGTACTAATCTTTTCACTGAGTACATGGGTCATTGGTAACTGACATGATATCCTCTGGCTCAGTCCTGGGAGTCTGGGCTCTCATCCGCTCTGCAGTTTCAAAAAGCAGGAAAAGTGAAGCTTCTGGTGGGATCACTGCAGTGGGCAGCAGGCATCAGCATGAACTCCGGCTACCAAGAATGCTACAGAGGACTCTGGCACAGCCAGTGGGTAGCTATCAGGCAAGATGCTTAGACTCGGCTATGCAGACACTAAAAGACAATATGCAAATTTTTACATTATTCCCCAGACCTTGAAAACACACAAAGAATGAAACCTCCAGTCTTAGCCTAAGGCATCAAACCAAATTTCCAATGCCAAAGTTCACAGCTCCAGATTTCTCTGCATCAGTACAAGCTGCCACCTCTCTAATGCAGAGTTTGCAGAAACTGCCTGCACATTTGACCGTGTGAACAAGGCGTAGAAGACGAAAAGTTTCAACAAAAGCTGAAAGGCTTCTCAGTGCCTCAGAGGCCCCCTGGACATGGATCCTTCCACACTGCTATTTATAACCCCTTCTCAGATGTTCTTTGAAAAGTGTCCCCCATCTGAGGCCCACATGGGAACCAGAGGAAATTTCTGGTTTGGTGTACACTGAAACTGCACTG